GCCGCGCTCCCCGGTTGCCGCCTGAAGGAAAGCTTTGGGGTTCTTGTCGCCCCGGAGGACTCGGGGTTAGCCGCCGGTGCGGGTCACAGCCGCGCTGCCCAGGTTACCTGAAGCAAACCGCCGTGTGGAGCGGGCTTTAAACCTGTGTCGGGGGTTAAGTTGTTGCCAGGGGTTTTAAATACCAGAGGCTTGTCTCGTGCTCCCCTTTTCGGTAGTGCTGTGATCCGACTGTCTCAGCGCTGGGAAGAACTTAACCGTAATTTCATAATGATACCTGCAGAGGAGAAATCTTCACCTCCTTGGTTTGAGTTTCTTGGTTTTGTTTTTTTATTTTTTTTTTCCTAAAGTTTCTTAAAAAGTGGACAGGTGCTGAATGTTCTAGCTTTCCTAGGTGGTGGGGTTTTTTTTTTTTTGTTTTTTTTTTTTGTTTGTTTGTTTTGGTTTTTTTTTGCTACAAGCTGTTTCTGAACTCCTGTCAATGCAGACACTGAAGATAACACCAGGTGTTCTTGCATTAAAACTCTGCAAACATGTGTGTGAGATCAGCAAACACTCTGTCTCCTTGTACTGATTTCCTGAGGGGATTGTGATGCTTCAGCTCAGCAAATATAGTTTTTTTGTTTTCTAGACCATGAGCACAACTGTAGTGCTTGGGGTAGAGCAATCTATGTATTAAATTCTGAGATCAGTTTATTGCCTGTGGGAATCTTCGTTTGACACTGGAGCTTAAATTGAAGTAGCATGTTGTGGGAATGCTCCCCTAGAGCGCTGGGATGGCCAGACCTGCTGAAGTATCTAGTCTGGCCCCGTTTTTATATCTTTGGTCAGTAACTGTAATTTGCAGCTGGTAGGAATGGGATCAGAGAACTCAAGAGAGCCAGAATGATTTTAGTAAGTAGCATGTCTTTAGAGAAACTGTGTGGAGCTTATTAATTGGAAGCAAAGATAAGGGGTAATGCTGGTGGGTGGATGAGGAAGGGTAACGCATCAGGCTTTGTGATGTGGGTTTGTTGACTGTATCTCTTAGTTACAGGATATTCTAGCTGAGGGTGCGTTTGTACCTCTTGGAGGAGAATCTGCTGCTTAGCTGCAAAAGCACGTTCCTAGTGGTGGGATAGTTCATAAAGCTGTGCAGGATGGATTAGTACATTTGGTTTCTTAGGAATATGCGCATTATTATAGTAACTCATCGGTTATATGTAGGATATACTATGCAGAAAACTTCACTATGCAAATCCTCTGCATGAAATTAAAATCAGAATGGAAATTCTTGTTTGTAGTAATTTGTAGTGTGCTTTTGAAATATCAGTTGCTTTCCTCTTATATTAATTTTATTTACTTATTTTTATTGTAGCCACTGATGCAGTTTAAATTTATAGGGAAAACAAGATTGCAGAAGATAGTGGAAGGGAGTGTGTGTGAAAGAGATGAGAGAGAGATTGATATTGAGTTTCATTTTCTTGGCACTGTCCTTGTAAATCTGTTTTGCATATAGTTAAGGAAATGAGCTTATTACTGCAGATAAGATTAGCTTCCCAAATAGTGTAATAATAGGCTTCTGTTGCCTCACAAGGAGAGATTTTGACTGCTGAACTGGAAATAGTGCCTGGGTTAAAAGAAACGTCTCCATCTGTGAGCAGCTGTCCTGGGGAAGCACCAGTCAGTCAGCCAGAACCCACCGGAGTTCTATCCCCAACAGCCTGGGTGGGAGCAGAAGTTGTGTCTTCTCTGCCAAGTGCAGTTGGTCTCTGTTTTTTAATTTAACAATGCTCAGCTTTTGTTTTATTGTTCCAGGTGTTATCTCCAGTGTGATTCTGCAACTTCAGGCTTACATAACTTCCAAAATAAATATATATATTTATGTATCTCTAATACAAAGTACACTTTTAAAAAATAATGAACTGAAATTATTGTTCCAGGATGCTGATTTTCAGTAGCATTGTATTTTTACTATAACACAGTGAAATGTTTCAGTTGGAACACAGAGCCTTAAACTTTGGAGCTTAAGCCTGAATCATACAAGGAGTTACCAAGTGAGATGCATCTTAGTGAAAATCCTCAGTTATATGTGCGTTAGCACATCTGCCTTTTTAATGTCTGTTTCTCCAGACAGTAGACATACTTGTTTGCGACTCTTGACAGTCTCAGAGGCTGAACATTTTTCTTCCCTTTCTTGATCCCTGACAACACCTGAATGTCAGATGAAGGTCAGATTAACTGCTCATTAGACGAAATTGTGTTACTGCAGAATAGTGAAACAACAAATGTATAAGTTGTTTGTCTCTGTTCAGGACTTAATTTTGAAAATCACTTACAGTGCTTAACATGTGAAGGGCACAAATTCTGTATGCAGAACCCTTACAGAACCCCGTCTCTTATCCACCATCACTTCTTTGGTTTGCTAGTGCAAAGTATGCAGATACTGTGTCTGTCTCACATCAGAGCCATCAAGGTGGTAGGTTTAATTCCTTGGAAGCCCTGTCTTCCAGACAGGTTTTCTCTTGACTTTCCATTGTTTCTGCCCTACTTCAGAACATACTGAAGCTGTAGTATTTTTTTTCAAGGCTTGACAACGCTAGATCTTTTCATGAATGGCTTCCTGAAGTGTCCCTAGGGAACTGGGAGACATCACTTCTCTTCGTAAATCTGTCTCTCCACAGTATATGTGTTACTCCCCTGTCTCTGCTAGTAAGAAGCTGTATTTCTAAATTGTTTCATAGACCTTTCATTTAAAACAAACCAACAAAAAAACCACAACAACAAACCCTCTTCAGTTTTAGATGCAGGTGGGATTGTTTCACATAGATGTAGTGGAGGGTGAATGCTGAGAGAAGTTGCCAGAGAAATTAAAATAAAGCAAAAAGGACAATTTCACAAGGTATGAGGCATTACTTTATGTCAGGTTAGATGTATTACAGCATGTTATGTCCAATAAATTCAACCCATTTTTCTTATCTACATTAAATCTATGGAATCTCATTTTGGTTACGATGTGTACACAGCTTATTTTATGAGTGTCCTACTTATTTTAAACTGGAACAGACTGTGAAGGAATTTTGTTATGCATAAGTAATTGATCGATTCAGTTTACATTTATTTGTGTTTTGATAACCAAACCTATCTGAAGTTTGTCAAAATAGATTTGATGGAAGTATGTGTATACTGTGGTAGTGCTGCTGTGCTTCCCTCGTCTTGGCTTGTGCAGTGACTTTTTCCATCTGCTCTTCATCCTGTGAAAAGTGGGGGGACGCTTGCTGTGTGCGAGCTGCTTATCACGTTAGGACTGAAGCCACGTGAGTGGGGTAGATTAGGGTCTGCTTCATGACAGTGGTAAAACTACTAAACTGTCAAGGTCTGTTAGCACTGGAGTGAGTTAAAGATGTGTGTAGCTTAAAGGGATATTGTTGTGTTAAAAAAAATTTGTTTGAAAATTAATCCAGTGTTACATTTGTAACCTTATTTCTTTCTCCACTTAAAAACATAAATGCAACTTTAGCACCGGGAGGGTTCAAAGGGAAGAGATCAAAGTGGCCACGTGGTAGTGGAAACTAGTTTTCATGGGACTAGAGATAAGGGGTGGGGAGAACAGTTTTTCAGGAGCCTTTCAAGTGATGATTGGGTATTGGAGTCAGAGGAACACCCTGCAGCTTTTCTTCATGGAGGCATGAGATGTCCTGGGAAAGGCTGCAGTGTCCTGGAGAGAATGAGGGGGTGAGGAGTCTGGGGAGTGCCAGGAAATTGATAGGAAGGAAGATGAGGTGCTATTAAGTCTAAGTAAGCATACCTGGGAAATGAATGTTAAAGTTAATAAAGTGGCTTTCAGCAGAATAGCAAAGGGGGAAGTTAGACTGGAGATGAAGGGAGGAAATAAAGCATGTTTTTTGTATGAAGTAATAATTTGTAGCCTTGGACCACAGGCAACAGTACTGATCATACATTGTGCTTCTGACAAAATCATATTTTGTTCCCCTTTTGTCCCGAGTTGGAGATATTTCATTTTTGTTCAAATTAGAGAATGCAAATAAGTAATAATGGAGAGCAACTTCAGCAATGTTCTACCTGCAAGCCAAGCTTTGGGATGACTGCTGGGGTTCTGTAGGTTCTTGGAGACAGGGGTTGAGTAGAAAGAGGAGAGAGGAGGGGGAAAACTAACTGGAAAGCAAACAACCAGTAAGAATCTTTACCCCTAAACAGCGAAAGGGGATGCAAGAACATGATTTGTGGAGGGGGAGGAAAGGGAAGGCAAAGATGCAATAGTGGGTGACTAAAGTAAAGGAGATGGAGCTGGCTTGAATTCAGAGGCTAGTATACATTGTTTGAGCACGTGGGTCAAGGAGGATGAAAAGTAGAATGGGAGTGGCCAGCAAAATAAATTTGGGGGGTGAGGGGAGGAATCTAGTGGGACACAATGGGTTCAGTGACTAGTACTGTGCTAAGCTTTGGAAGATTAAAGTAGAAAAAAAAGGGGGGAGGGGGGTGAGAAAAGACTCTATTAAGACCAGGGGTTGGAGGTAGAAGTAGGGATAAACAAAATATAGGTCAGTTTTATAGTACCTGGCAGATAGTAAACATAGGCTGGAGTGAAAAATGGCTGCAAAGGATGAAGTGTTTTTGGAAAAGATGAGGAAAGAGAAAAAGCAATATGGAAGAAAAGTGAAAGAAGTGAGAGTATTTGAGGAAAAGGAGATTGCCCAGTTGGGTCCTATTAAAATAAAGAATTTGAATAAAGGGCTACATGGAATGATTTTAAAAACTGAGTTTTATAAATTCATCAGGTTTTATTCCAAGCTACATAAAATGGCTCTGAAATTTTTATCTGAAATGTCTCTTTTCCAGTGATCCTTTTGCTGCACACCATGAACATATGCGGCAGATGATGAGAAGCTTTTCTGATCCCTTTGGACGAGATCCATTTCTCAGTATAACAGATGGTGCAGAGAGAACAGTAGATCGAAGAGCACGCCAGGACTCTCAGGTTGCTCTGAGAGGAAATCGCAGAGTAAGTATTTTCTTCATCTCTAAGGATTACTGCATGGAATTTACATTTACTGGTAATATAATTGGCTTCATATTTCCATTTCTGCTAAAATTTTGTCCAGTGGAAACAGAGGCCTGGCCCAGCTATTGTAACCTGGGTCAGATTGTTTCATCGCTGAGTAAAACATAAAGAATATCTCTCTTGGTTCCTTAATAGCGGCCTATTACTTAACACTGACAAACTTCTGTGTAGGACTAATGACAAGTATGTATGTTATTGAACACTGAATATACAACATTTCATGATACAAACTAAACATTTATCAAAGGTTTGGTTTAATAAATATTAGGTATTAAATGTTTTTATTACGGAAAGGCATTAAATCTGTCCAATGACAGAGTGTTCTCTGAACAGTTATTTCCTTTTCGTGGTAACTTTACTTAAAAAGATACCTTGATATGTTTATGCTTTCACTCTGCACTTCATTATCCTGTGTCTAGTTATTTACATTAGTTTGATTTATCACAAACCTGTGTTTCAGCCACCTAAATAGCATCTACACAGACATTTTAAACCCTGTTTCAACTTTGCAACTGTGAACAAAGGCTTCACATTCTGTATTTGGTCTGATTCTTAATGTTTCCTCTACATATAAGACACCAAGAGTTAGAGATCAGGGAAATTGATACAAAACCCAGGATTTCTGTAAATTACCACCTGAAACTGAGAAGCTGGCAATGACCTATGTTTTATGTGAAATATCTTTTCAACTCTCTAGGCATGCAGGACAATTATATCTTATGCTTCTGTAGCTAAACCTTATCTATGCTGTATTTAGAAACTATATATTTTTGAAGTTAGTTCTTTTCCCTCTTTCAGGCTAAATATTTTTGCAGCTGAATGATCTTTTATTTTAATGAATCACATTTGACTTAAAAAGAAAAACAGTTGGAAGACAAAACAGATTACGAGAGCGGGTGGAACTCAGCCAGATTTGGTGGTGGTAGTTGTGCAAACCCAGATAGATAGAGCTTAACAAACATAGCAGAAACACAGACTACCACCTACAAGTCAAAAGGGTAACTGTCAGATTCTTTCCTCCATACTCATACGTTGCCGGTTAGTTTCAAATATAGATGCTGCTGGATCTAATTAGAGCACGATCTTTCCTCTACTGAAGCAGATTCTTAGGCCTTGCTTCAGCAGACACCTAAAACCAGATCAGACTTATTTTTCCTTTTGAAAAAGAAAACGCCAAACCTTACCCTAATAGCTTAGGGGTTTGTGTCCCTTGTTCTTGGTGGTGAGGAATAAACATGAGGCATAGAAAACCTTTATCTGTGGTTAGAGAAAGAAGTTAAAGGTGCAAGAGCGCTGTGTTATTTTGATAAGCACACAAGAATTCCACACCTGCTAAAATCTCATCAGTATCTTTTGATGTTCCTCGTGTTGTCAGATGTCACAGAAGACTCGGTACTGATTATTTGAGCCTTGTAGTTAGTCTCAAACTGCTTTTACTGGTTTCCCTCCAGAAATTATTCAAACCCTTAAACAATTAGATTTTTATGTAGGAAAAGATGGATATCTTTAGTACCATGTAGAATACGATTTGCTAAAATTACCCATACTGATTGCTGATATTGTAATTCTATGTTTAAGTAAACTGCCTAAAACTGCTTTACAAGGGACAGAATTTGTTGCAGCAACTCAGTGGGTGTCAGTATAACATTCAAGTTTGAAAATGCTTCTCCTTCCCCAAGCAGGTTTGTAGTGTCAGTTTTTAGCCTGTTGGAGGGAGGGAACGAGGAGGGAAGGACATGAGGAGGAGAAATGGTGTAAAACATCTTAAGAGATACTGTCATTTGGTTTTGTTTGGATATCTGATTGTTAGGCAACAGCTTTTATATGTATTCTGAAATAAGAGTTTATAAACTTTTTATGACTAACAACTTTATTATTTTTGAGGATATCCTTTTGCACTTGATATTATATTATTTTCTGTCAGTACATGTTAAACAGAACTGCAATTTGAAAGAGTTCATAAAGGTATTAAAAAATCGGTTAATTCCTTCCTTTTGTACTTAAGAGTTGTTGTGAAGTGTTTGTGCTTCTGTCTAACCAGTCTTTCTTTAGGTGGGCTTTTATATAACTCTCCAGTTCTAGTTTCCTGGAAACATCAATGTGTTTTCCAGCATCTCATTCCCCCGTCATATAGGGATATTCAATATCAGTTGGTCAAACAGGAACTGCATTTGCTGGTGTTTATAGCTACATCTATTTATACAACTGCAGAAGAATATAATTTGCCCATGGGGGATTTGTCTTCATGTGGTTCTGTATACGATGATAGATTTACCTAGAATTTCTTTGCAATGACCTTTAAAATCGCTGACAAGTTATACTTCATTTGGTTTATTGCAAGGGATGTACAGATATTTTAGAGAAATATCTTTTATATTTACGTTAATTTCTTTTAATGCATAAAGAGTACTTGTGAACAGGTCAGCTGTGTCACTTAATTTTTTAAGCTCTAAAATTGTATGCCAGCCTTCTGAAATTTAATTACATAAGTTTATATTAAAGGGACTATTGATTTGTTGATTTTAATCAACTTTCAGAGACGAGGTTCTGTTGCATGAGTAAAATGAAGTGCTTTCAGGGAAGTGTGTGATGTCTGAAGCACTGTGCCACGTTTTAAGTAATTTTAGTACAAAGGTTGCTGTGGTATACAAATGTTTCTCAACTTCTAGCTTTAAGTGCTTCTAGTACATACGTATGAATGTGACTTATTAAGTGTGGTGACAGCTATGGCTTTCCAATATCATTAGTATAAATACATTACTCCTCTATAACAGAGACTACTTTGTATTATATTGTTGTAGCACACTATAAATTACCAAGGTCCTCTCCAGGGACTGCTTTTTTTGATTGGAAATGTTTAATATCACCTGCTGTATATAAAAGTTACTTCTGCTGTGTCTGATAACAGGTACAGTAACTAAAAGATGCTGGTCCTTTTTCTTCCAGGCAACAAGCTTCTCCCTCATGCCCTTTGCAGGCTTTGGTAGAATGGTTAGTATCCTAGGAGCAATAATCCTTGTAGCTCTTGCTAGTTTGTGTAAACTGTCTGCATAACTAAAGCATGGAGAAAGGCTAGCCTCGGTGTGCTTGCAAATGCTTTTGTTGGTGTTCAGATATGTGGAACAACATCATGCAAGAAAGGGTTTTTTTTGGGGTTTTTTTTTAGGTTTTTTCCTTATTAAATGAAAATGCTGAGGTAGACTAAATATGCTGGTATCAAGACTGGAAAAGTTACTACTCAGCAGCTGGCTTTTCTACTCAGTGATGTATCTGTTGGTGCTTGATCTCTGATGGATGTGAATGAAATGATCCCTGGAGAAAGAGTCCAAACTTTCTAACTGTAGAAAGCAGCTTTCAGGAGTCACTGACACTTGCAGTGATCTGATGCCCTAGATTGTCTATAATTATTGCCCAAAACCCTTAAGGATTCAATTTCCTGCTACTCAAGAAACAAATGGAAGACTTTCCATGCCTGAATTTTACTTAGTTTTAAATACATAGCTATTTAATTTAAAATTAATTCTGTACGTTTCCAGTAGCTGGAGGAACGTGGGGTGTTTGCTATTGTAATTAGCATCCTGGTGTTTTGTAGCACCTTAGCAAAGGTGCAACCCACCAGCCTGCCTCTTGCCCAAGCTGCTGGGTTTTGCAGAGCCCCTGGGAGCTTTTTTCCACATTCTTCTCACAACCTCAGGACTGGAGCGTGGTGGTGGTACAGCGGTTGTCCTGGGAAGCGTGTCTAGAAGCTAACCAACCACCAGTGTGTGGTGTTTGCTCTTAATTAGCACACTCCAACCACAGCTGCTTGTGTCAGAAACCAGGCAGCCCAGTAGGGAGTTCAGACGGGTCCTGAGGAAAGGTTCACAGTAGGAGAGGGAAGGCGTGGTGAAAATCCTCTTCATCATCACCACCTGCTGCACTGGAGAGGAGCCCAGAGGAGGATGCTCATTTGGGACAGCACTGCTGTCTTCCCAGATGGTCACTTAAGAGAGTTCTCTACTTTGTCTCCCTGTCTCCTCATGTTTTTTATTTTGTTTTCTCCCAAAGGTATCTTTCATCAGTATGGTCAGTATATGCCATCAGCTACAGATCCTATTAGTAAAATTCTGTGCATGTAAATCTGTTGTAGCAGCTATCCTTTGTGAAACACTGCATCTTCTGCTTTTGTGTAAAAATAACAAATGTTTTCTTGAATACATCTGTTGCATCAGGTAATTAAGCTGCCTTTCAGGTTTTCATTTGAAAAGGTGCATTTTGGCTTGTTTATATCCATGAATTGCAGTCTGTGAAAACCTTCTTGATGGTCTGATTTCCATTAAATAATGCATGTAAAGAAACAGCCTCAGAACTTGAAGAGTCAGAAGACTTTGCTTTAATTTTCATGTCTTTTCATTTAGCAGGATGCAGATTTTGGGGAACCTTTTTTTGCAATGGACAGGATGATGTCAAATATGAGAAACAGTATGCTGGAAATGCAAAGAAAATTTGTAAGTTTTTTAAAAAAACTTGTTCTAAAATTACATTAGAGAATGACAGTTGTTTAGAATATTATGCATAAAGCCCTGCCAAGAAAAAGGTTATTAGTCTCAAGCAGATAGTAATTTATTTTTTTTTTTCCCCCAGACTATATTGTGATTATAATTCTCTAGGCCGTCACTGATTATTTGCTAACAACAGTACTTTAAATGTATGCTTGATTCTCTGGGGGTTAGAACTGCTGTAAGTTATCTGGTCTCTGACTATTGCCAGAGCTGACACCTTAAGTGAAGGAGCAGTTTAAAGTGTTACTGGACACTTAAAAACCACAAAAACCGCAAATGCCTAAATGCCGCCTTGCATATAGCTTTCCTCAGATTTTACTTTCAGTGCTGTGTCTTTCTTCTTTCTTCAGCCTTTGAAGATAACACTGGTATCTATTAGGTGTTGAGAATGTTTACTGTGTTTTACTGGCCTTGTAAAATGGCTTGTAACCAGTGTTGCTCAAGTCCTATTTCACCTGAACTCTTTACACACCTTGTTGTATACTGTATGTGGCAAGACTGATGTTACAGGTTATATCTTCATAACTAAACTAAACTGTGCCAGGACAAACATTGGAGCCATTGCTTATTGCTGCCCGTATTTCTTATTTGTTGTTGTGTTTCCTGGCATGGGGTGACCTGTGGCCAGACAAGGCCAGGACAAGAGCAAGGGCATATCGAATGCCAGGGTCTCTTCCCAACAGGCTGCATCCACGGTGCCAGGACTGAGGGTTAATTTTTTTCAGAGGGGTGTTCTTTTTCTTAATAAGATAGTCTCAGAATGCAAGAAGTAGCTATCATCCACAAGTTTTAACTTACTAATCAGAAGTTGACTTTGCTTGTAGGATGACCTGTCTATCCATCCAGATGCACACACATTCAGCTCCTCCTCTGTGATGACATACTCCAAGATAGGGGATGAACCACCAAAAGTTTTCCAAGCTTCAGCTCAGACACGCACAGCTCCAGGAGGTGTAAGTAGCACTGAGATGCAGCAAAAAGGTGCTGTGTAATTATCGGAGTCTAAGTTCATCTCTACCAAACCACAGTTCCCTTCAGGTTCTTTTCACTGGAGACAGTTACTCTTATAATTTAGAAAAATACATGTCTGTTTAAATATTGGTCTATATTAGACGCTTCTTAAGCTAAAGTGCTGTTTTCTTCCTTGTAATTTGTAAGCTTCTAAGTATACATCTAAATAAATTGTATGCCTATCAAAGGCTGGAAAATTGAATGCTAGAACAGCTGATTCTTCAAGGCGGTCTCCGATGTCTTTCTCTTTGCTATAATTAATCCTCTTCTACATTTAAAATTCTGTCTAAAATACAAGATAGCAAGAGGCAGTCTATTTATGCAAAACATGGCTTCAAATCATCCCCTTTACTCAAGCACTTTTAAATGCTTATGTAACGTTTCAGATGAAGATGCCCTTTCATTGACTTCCTTGCAGCTGTTGTGTCTAATTCTGCTAAGAAATTTGAATTTGAATTTGAACCCTGAAGTGAGGTTCATGAAAGACTATATGTGAGCAGTAAAGGCCGTTGAGCATGATTGGCTGTGGGATATGTTTAAGCTCAAGCAGACACTCGGTTATCAAAAAGGTTCTAATAATATACCTATGAACACAGTCATAAGTGGTTGCCTGGGTTTCAAGCCAGTCAACATGACAACCTAGTAATTAGTTGCCCCTTCATGCTGAGAATATTGGCATCGGCTGTTATTCATTCTGTTGTCAAGGAGAATGTTGAAGACCTGTCTGCATGTAGTATATTTAGACTGGGCTTATTTCTTCCCCAACAATTAATATCCAGTATGTTACTTAAGGAGCTTTAGGTGTTCTTGTTCAATCTTCCTGCTTGTTGGCAGAAAGAAAATAGACTTGATCTGTGCTTTGGTGTATTTTCAGCCAACACTGTAAATAAGACAGCTGGAAAAGCCTGTAAAAACTAACTTTTTCAAAAGTAAGATATAAAGCCTTTGGGGAAGAAAATTGGATTTAAAAAAAAAAAACTTTTAAACTTTTTTTTTTTGGCTGGAAGGACACTTATTTCCCTTTTTTTTGTACAGGTTAAGGAGACAAGAAAAGCACTTAAAGATTCTGAAAGTGGACTGGAAAAAATGGCTATTGGTCATCATATCCGTGATCGTGCCCATGTTGTGAAAAAATCAAAGAACAGGAAGACTGGTGATGAAGAATTGAACCAGGAATTCATCAACTTGGATGAAAGTATGTCCTTTTATGCAATTCTCTGATGGGTTTTACACTGTTGTTTCACATACCGATTTTGAAACGCCAGCTTGAGAGATCTTAAAAGTACTTTTAATGATATTTCATGGTTTCCAACAAACTTTTAACAGAATTTTTTCATTTGCTGAGTATTTGTGGCTAATACAAAATACATATTTATGAGATGTGTAGTTAAAATGTGCGTATACTCTTACAACAGTGACTTTCAGGTTGCTTTTTTTTTTAATCTTCTAAACACCAGCCTACTGGTAGTAAGCTTTTAGTTGTCTTTTACAGATCCCCTAGAAATAGTTTGCAGGCCATGTGGAGAATCGGGGAGCACAAGTTTAAAAAAACACAGTTAAAAAAAACCTAATTTTTATTACATATTTTTTCATATGTTGTTTACACTTATTAAAAATAAAAAATAAACTTTAACTGTTTTTTCAGCTGAGGCCCAGACCTTTGATGAAGAGTGGCAGAAAGAGATTATGAAGTTTAAACCATCTAGAACTAGATGGAATTTGGAAGCTCCAAAGTACAGAAGTATTCATCACATACCCAAGGAAGATGGATTAAGAAGGTAAAAATAGTCTTCTACCAGAACAAGGGAATACTAGCAACAGAAGGAAAATTCAACCCCAAAGCAATCTGTTTATGAACAAACAATGCTTACTGGCAATCTGAGGAGAAATAGCGTGTTTTATTCATCTTTTTCTCATGATGCCTCAATAAACAGTGTAAAAGGCAGTATTCTGTTAACTAAATTTTGAAGAAATTCAGTATTTTTGACTGGAAAATTACTTAATGAACTGACAGGCTAAAATGGTGAGTGTTCTAGAGAAGTATGCCAGTGCTCTTAGCTCAACTCTGTACAAATGTTGTAGCTGCTCCCAGAGTCATTTACCTGGGGGAGTTGCATTAAGGTATAATCCTTATTGAGGGCTAGGTTGATCTGCTCTCTTGAGCCAAAGGAAAGATGCCTTCTGTATTGTTGGAGACAGACACACCCCTCTCTTCAGGGTTAGATTTCAAATGAGACCTTTTATAATCCTAACATGAGGAAGTCCATGTAGGAATGAGGACTGTATCTGTAAATGCAGGAGTTCCCTGCATAGTCTACTATCTGCCAAGCTTCAGGATTTTTCCTCTCCTGTCGACACAGGGTCAGTGGAAGTTGTGATGCCTTTATCAGTTGCATATTTGGTAGAGAATGCTGCAGAAGGGAAATCCTTCTCTTCTGTAAACTACACAGAGCACTTTCTCTCTGGCATCTTTTCAGTTCCAGAGGTTTATTACAGAGGCTACTTTACCTTCAATTTCAGTTTTCAGACTAAGCTGTTTCTTCTCGTTGAGTGTGCAAGATGAGGAAACAGTCCAACTCTACGGTGGTAACAACAAAAGTTGTTTTGTAAGGAATCAAATCTGGTTTACAACTAAAATAAGTAATTAATAAAATGTATATCATATGGTGGTTGTGATTTCTGTTGTTGTTTGTTTCAGAGAGAAACCACTTGCAGTTCCAGGTCCCAGGGAGCCCAGAGGTTCTCTGGAGAATCTCAACGTGAAAGGAACACATGTCCCCATCAAAAACAGCAAAAAATAAATTGCTTCCATTCTCCATGTGAATGGAGTTTCTTCAGAGGAGACAATGGTGCTGCGTTGCTTATGTTCATATAAGTATACACGTATATATGACCAATCTCTGTGTTTTGTTTTAGTAAGTATTAGCGTGCCTTGCTACTCTGTTCTTTTGACAACTGAATGTCCTTTAAAACTTCAGATCCTTGGTTAAACCATCTAGTTTTAGTAAATTAAAAAGCTGACAACTTTCCACTTAAAAGCACTTTAATGGATTATCATTAATTCTGTTTAAAAAAAAATGCTTTGATTTGCAAAATTTTTCTATTACAGCTGCATTAGTCTCAGACTTCTTAAGTGTGGTAAACTACTTTTTCCCACACTTAACTTGCACGGAAACTAAATTCTCTTTTTTTGTGTGGCTGAAATAATTATTAATTTCCTAGGTGATACAGCAATTAATAGCAATTTGAACACACTATAGCCCCTATATACATCTCTATATATGTATCTTCAGAATCATACTGTAAATTCTTATTGAATCCCCAGATTTACCTTGATTGAAGAAAGTGAAAGGAATACTAAAATGACAAATACTATAAGTAAATTTTAGTTTATCAGCATTCTTATGTTCATAAGCTGTGCTTACATCTCTTTTGTGCCTAGACTGTCAGTTTCATATCTCTGATCCTTGGACTGTTTCCTTTGGAGGTGGCCCATTATTTTTCATTTTTTCTCTGTAGTAGCTTTTAATTATTCTGTAATAATACCACTGTGTGCTAAGAAACTCAGCTGTAACCATTAGTTATTAATCAGAAAAATATGTGGGAGAAATTGGTTGAGGAGGCAGTAGTTTAACTGGAGAATGAATGATTACACCTTCTGTCCTAAAAAGCTAAAAGAGCCATGCATACAGGAAACCATCTCCCCCCCTCAGCTGAGATGTGTGTCTATGTTCTTTGTGTCCTCTTTTAGTGGATGTAGAATGATCCTAAATCCAACACTCATCTCCCTTAATGTTGTTATTGTTTGGGTAAAGAATCTGCTGTTCTGGAGGAAAGCCAGCTGTGTGACAGAGACCAGGAAAGGTCTTAGCAGTGTTAAGTTTGTATCCTGTTCTGTTACACCAAGTGGATCCCAATGTGATAGTGTAAATTTCTATAGACTATAACGTTACAGCATTAGTATATATTTCAAGGCTAAAACAGTGTAGCCTTAAAAAAAGGTACTACTTGTATGATAAAATAGGCTTAGTAAGTTAAGATTAATATTTGTTTGGCCAAAAAGGAAATGGCCTTTAAATCATGTTTAATTTTTCCACGGATTCCCCAGATTATTTAGATGTGTCTATTGATGTGCAAAAATAATCAAAAGTACTTTTGTTGAACTCTGACTAGGGGAAGACAATTGTTTACTTGTTTAATGCAATGGTCTCTTCCTATTAGTAGAGCAAGTAGCAGTGGCAGTAAGTTTATGCTATTGAACCATCCTGTGAGCAGTCAGGTAAGTGGGTGGCGAGGGGGTAACAACCTCGGACAGAAGGACAGGCTGAAACGATGGGATATTCTGGTCCTGCTTGCCAGAGGGTGTCTGCCAGAACTCTGAATCTAAAGGGTGCTTTTACTCTCCTTAAAAAGTAGGAGTACAGCTCTAGGGCCTGATCTTCCACACTGAAGACAACACTGATTTTTGCAATTAATGTCACTGAAAATATAAGGTTTTGGAGGCATTTTTCAGGTATGTCACGTATATTTCCCAGTCATAAACAGCAGAAAAGTTTTTCATGACATAACTTCAGAAGAAATCTTTGAGAGACACTGCTATTTAACAGAAAATAATCTTCATCTGACAACTTGCATTTATCTCAGTAAAGCATAGGCAGAAAAAAACATTATACATATGTAATCAATAAAACAAGTACATACCATAGTTTTAAAATTATAGTGGAAAGAGGCTAATATTCAGTACAGATTACTTTGTAATGCAAAACAATGTTCTAAAATGTAATGCAGAATAAATTGTTCTATGTAGAAACATCTGAAACTAATTCTTTATTAAAGTTATTTATTATTTATGGTTATTGTTTGGCTTACTCTATACCACAAAGTGACTGGTGCATTATTTATTTTGGGCTGCCTGGAAACATTCTTATGTGTGACACCAATACTAACACAATGAGGGAAAGTTTCCTTCAGTTTCCACAAGGAAAACATGCATTTACCACAAAAAAAAAAGTTTGCTAGAAGAAAACAGTTCAGGTTGGGACTGGAGTAGGGCAATGGCCAGGCTGTTCTTCTGCTTCACAACAGCTCTCGCCTGGCTTCTTGGGTGTTAAGGACTGGTGTCATCCCACTAGTGGTTTCAGGCTGTTCTTCTGCTTCACAACAGCTCTGGGCTGGCTTCTTGGGTGTGAAGGACTGGTGTCATCCCACTAGTGGGGTTTTTTTTAATATTTGAGAATATAGGTACACATTACAGCTTCCCTGAGCTATGCCATGAATATCATATATGTGCTCTTACTTGGTAATATAACAGCTCTCACCTACGTGCTCTTACTTGATAATAAATGTGAGAATTCCTCCTTCGGTGCTGGCGTTACTCGAGGGAAGGCACGCAGAGCAGCGTGCCTGTAACTGACGTTCCCTTGCTCTTGTAACACACCCTGCAACGCATTATAACCACGATGGTACCCGAGGCTGAATCTTCCTTTTTCCACACAGTTGTTCCTCTGCCAAGGAACCCAGCTCCTGAGCAAACTTCAGCTGATGAAGGTGGATACCGCTGTGAATAGCGACCCCCCCTTCACCCCAGTCCCTTTTTTGTAAAATCATCTCACCGTCCTCTGCAGTTTTGTCTCCAACCCTCCTCCTCAGCGAGCTGCAGCAGCACCAATTCCCGATCGCTGGGTCAGAATCACTAATTAAACACTACATGGGGAGGGGACCCTTCCTCCTCCCTCTCCCTACCGCGCTGCAGCGCCGCTCTATCTGAGGGTTTGCCGCGCT